TGAAGACATGCCTATGTTGGACACTGTTAGTAGTTGGTTTTCCGGATTACTATGCCTGTAGTCTCTCAAGATAGTAAAGACGAAGAAAATGACTGCTTGGGGAATGTTTGTAGTTTCCGGTGAAAGTCATTTCCCTTATCTTCATATTCATGAAATAAATAATTGCCACATGCTAAAGGAGCTGTCGGTGCTTACCGGTACAAAACTTGAATGTCTAACAATCATTCCGTGTCCCAAAATTCTTTCATTGCCAATTGATGGGGCCGTGACGTAAAGGACACCTTAAATGCATGTCATCGACTGTAATAAACACAAACAACCCACTTACCTTCTCCATGTTTAAGAACACCTACAGTGACCCCATAGGCTCTTTCAATCGAAATTCTAACAAGAAAACAATATGGGGAAGTTGACATGTGGGAGAAACTTATTGTTGTGTATGTGGGTTGGTGATGGTAGTTTAATTATATGATTGTTGAAAGGATTGTAGAAGAAAATTTTATTATCTCGAGATATCATGAGCAACCATCTATGGTTGGATGACATTATATTGTCTTTTTGAGTTCGTGGTATTACATGTCAAAAAAATTGTCGTGTTGAGAGAATCTGCAAATATGTTTACTTCTTTGGTAGAACTTTAGGTATGTAGAATGATGAAATGGTAAATGATGATGCTAAATAGTAGATCACTTCAGGTAGTGGAGTAGAATGAGTTGGGAGAGCAAAGTGAATCACATGCTCACGAGATAGATGGTCCTGAGGTTCATGCGAACAGAACACACGTAAACTAAGTTGGGGGTTGATCCGGCGGAAACCCCTCCGACGCTCAGCCTAGATGTACGGATCATGGAGATCGTAGAGAGAATGTAAATACTTGAATGCTTTGAATAATAGAACGTACCTTTTACCAATGAATTATATCTTTATTTATACCTTGTCGATTGGGATGAGGTTAATTAGTCGAGCTCAAAAAAACCTTATTTGAAGGTGGTTGGATTTTCGTGGCGGTGGTCTTCTAAATTGCGCTCGTGGCTCAATGAATAACTAATTTTTAGGTACATTGTGCTGGCCTAATTAGGCATATCATTAAGCCCCCCCACTCACGAGTCGATGTGGAAGCCAAGTCGAAAGGGTGTCATATCGTGTCGAGAGTAAATTGCGACGTAGTTTGGCGTTTTTCGTTGCCGTGGATTAATAAAATAAAATAGTATTAAAATATTTATTTGGCCGGATGATATATAATTTAGGTTTTTAAATATATTATATGTGCCAAAGAAATGAAAAACTTTTGAGGTGAAGAGGAGCAATTCACAACTCTTGAGCGAAATAACTATGGGTAAGTAATTTAATTGTTGGTTATTCTTCTGTATTCTTCATTGCATACTTTGTGGTCGAATACTTTGCCCTATATATACAAACGAAAAGCACAAATCTATACAAAAGTTTTCTTATTGGTTGAACAATTTGCCCAAGCTTCCAGTTATTCACTTGATGGGTTGTACGAAGAACTCCGTCCTCAACGATTTGGGGATACTGCAACATCTTAAATCGCTTGTCATTGAAGACATGCCTATGTCGTTGGAAACTGTTACGTTAGTAGTCGGTTTTCCGGGTTACTATGCCTGGAGTTTCTCAAAATAGTAAAGATGAATAAAATGATAGCTCGTGAAATGTTTGTAGTTTCCGGTGAAAGTCGTTTCCCTAATCTTCGTATTATTGAAATTAATAATTGTCACATGCTAAAGGAGTTGCCGGTACAAAATTTGAATGTCTAACAATCGTTCAGTGTCCCAAAATTATTTCATTGTCAATTGATGGTTTGCCCAAATCTCTTACATAATTGGTGATCTCAGGATGTGATAAGCTCAAGCATACGTGCAGCGTAGACGAACGAGATTATAAAAATATTAAATGGGTTGAGAAGATAATTATTGACCGTCAGCCTCTGCATATTATCAAGTCTCGTAGCATGAAAAACATTCTTAATCCAAATTTCGCGGACCGTATTAGAGGTATTTGTACGCGAAAGACATTTGTGCTCCATTTGAATTTTTATTTGCTTTGCAATTTATGAGGGATAATTACACTTTTTGTCCCTATACTTTACCACTTATTCGTTTTTCGTCCTTAAACAAGTTGTAGTGACATTATTCATCCCTAAACATGCCATTTTTCTGATATTTTCGTCCCTCAGTCAATTTGACTGGTTAGTTTGGACGGAAAATAACATGTGCTTCGCACACGATACGTATGAGTCAACCCCTCTCTTCAATTTCAGATTGCATCTTCTTTAGAACATAAGCCCTCTTTTCCAAATAGCTAATTTCTTCAATATCACACATCTTTGGACTCGTAAATAGCCTCAATAATCCCCAGAAGAAAATTTTTTCCATCATACAAAAATCTGATGCAATGCAATTTATATTTTGAATGATGTTTTTCTTCGAAGAGAAGATGTTAAATAATATATTTGAATTTTTTGAATGAAATTTATAATATGTTAAGCTACTCAACAAGAATTCTTTGTTTTGTTACATATTGAGGATTTGCTAGATTTGCAATTTTGTAAACTTTAATTTAGATTGCCTACCCTTATTAGTCATTATCTCCATATTGGACGAAAACCCAATTGAGTTAACTACTCATTTAAACAAAAAAAAAAGTGTCATGGCCGGTGTAGGGGATATTAATCCTATATTATTTAAACTTGTTTTTGATTGATGCAATCTTCAATCGTGTCTAATAATATTGAATAGAAAAAAAAAATATTAGATGTAGTTGCATGTCTTCTATATTCATTAATTCTAAAGTGTGTGTATGCACACAAATTGCAAAAGGTTATTTCACTTAATGTTTTGAGTTCAAATATGGAAATTTCATGCAAAGTCAAAATAATTATTATTTATACAACAATTTTATCGTTCACATTCAATTCAACGAATTTCCTCTTAATTAGGTGGGAATGGGTCTCTTGCATGGTGGTGGCTCGTTTGCAAAGTTGAAATGTAATGTGCATGGTGGCTCGTTCTCTCTTGCAAAGTTTAAAGATGAGTCTTGTTTGGTGCCAATGCATGGGTAATTTGAGTTAATATGAGTTGGTTTCACGAAGCATATCAACAACAGCATACATGTGAGTGGCCACGTGGATTAATCGTCCATGTCAGCAGCATATATTAAGATTTTCAGGTTCACGTCAGATTTCCATCCAAAGTAATAGCAAAAATTAACGGCAGGACGGAAACTGCTAAAAAATGGCATGTTTAGGGACGAAAAACGAATAAGTGGTAAAGTATAAGGACGAAAAATGTAATTATCCCCAATTTATGATTAGTCCAACTGGATTTCATCTTATTTGTCTTTCAGATAGCCGAGAATAGCATGTACGTGAGGGGCATCAGTCATAGGCTGTCATCTTTGGGACATGTATTTCCTAACTTAACTCATGTTATTTACATTGTTGTCCAGTATTATGATTCGGCGAATGAATATTTGAGAATTAACAATAAGCAAAGAAAACCCCATATATCATATTTAGACATGGCATGCAGTTAATTACCTTCATAGATCATCACTAGTACTTGTAATATAATTCTTTAGGTAATATGTAGATTTGATACATAAAACACATAATATGTCTGTATGTGTATGTCGATTTCTTAACACCTTTAACGCACTAATATCTGAAGACGATGAAGACAAACACATTATAAAGATTTTTCCGCGCATAAAAAACTTGCATCATAACCTAAGCTTTAGATTCAAATGTGTAAAGAAAAGCAATGCACACCCCAAATTTCGAATCTAAGTAAGAGGTATATTCAGTAATTGACTTCCAATTTAAGTTATATGATCCACCACTAGTTTTTGTTCCGAATTTGGTGTCGGCAATTAATGATATGATTTTGTTTCTGACAAAAGCAAGGAGGTAATAATCATATCTTTCTATTGATTTATTTTTTAGTTTAAAATGTGAATATAGCTCATTTACCACAATTCTTAGTTCAACCATATATGAAAAATGACACTGATTAGTTTTCTTTGATAACTTGGACACAGATTATGAAAGCTCAGTATCAGATGTTGTGGAAGTTGAGGATTTCTCTCCTACTGAACCCGAATTTTGATTTTTATTTTGAATCATGGGATAGCAAGTAGTAGTTGTTGGAAACAAGAGCAAATTAAGATAACGAGCCGGTGAAAGCCCTCTCTCTGTAGATAGGCACCTCAGCGTCGTTTAAGCGCACCCGGGTGCTTAGGATTAACCTAAATCTCTGTAGTGCGGCACCATTGTGCCGTGTTATTGCACCTAGGTGCCTTGATAAGTACCTTAAATTCTTTGGTTAATTATTTCTCATACTCTTATTTTTTTGTAATGCATCCTGAATAGTCTAAATAAAAAAGCAAATAATGTTAGTTTGAAACAATCATTTAAGATATTGATTTCCCGTAACTTGATTATTACATAGGGGTGGAGATCAGACGGATACAATCGTAATTAGTACTTTTGGAGAAATTTCAATCCTTAACATTTGAATTGAAAAACCAATTCCAATTTCATCGTTCGAAAAAAAAAACATCGAAAATCAAAATTTTGCCAGAAGATTAACCACACAAGCATATAATGCTCGATCTTTGGCCGATATTTGTGGACCCCACTCAATTCATGCTTTCAAACAATGAAAGTCCGTTTTCAAGCAACTTAGCACGAGTGCAAAGCAGGTAGGACATATAAAAAAGTGGCTTTTTTTGGGTTGTGTCCCACTCAAAGACCATGCTGTTAAACAACTCGAGCGATTTCATCGCATTGCAAGCCCGGATACGATAGCGTTCCAAGCTCTACTATCGAAAAACAACTCCTCAAATACATTAATCAAAACGCAAGCTCGATCATTCTCTAAAACTTTAATCACCCAATGAATGGAGTAGATTTTTTCTTCAATTCTATGTTGTAATAAAAGCATAAACGAGGTACTTGTCCAGTGAGGGTCCATTTTTGAGAGTCAAATCCCGAGGACTTGTTCGAGTGGTACAGGTGCCGACCTCAGGCATGTATGCTTCCCTCTGTATGTGATATCAATTGCATTCGGCTCATATGATGACATACGCACTTCTTTCATAGCCATACAACCTTCCCTCACATGATCTATACATCTGTAATAGGTTCTGCACATTCAAAAACATAGTTTTTTCAGAAAAAAATATTTAACGATCATTTCTTAATATGTGTGTGTAAAAATCTTAAAAGACACGTGTATTCTTTTGAAAGGGAGACACCGTAGTATATTGAGCACAAAAAAGTAGATTAGATCAAGTAGCATGCATACATATTCGTCACCTTGTGAGAAGGGGAGCAAATATATATTCTCGGCCGTACTTCCTCCAACTGAATCCATCGTCGAATTCTTCGGATGGTACCTTAGGTCTCACTGTCACCCGTGCGCTGCAAAGAGACCCGAACAAAATATATGTTAATCGACGAAAATTTCGAAGAGTGAAGAACAACCACCTTGGATTTTATACACTTATGATAATTTTTCTTGTAATTAAAATATTAATCACCTTTCGTCTGACGAGGATGACACAACGTTGTACTGACATTGTCCTTGTGGAGCAAATAGTTTAAGAAGGGATAGAGCCTCCTCGTACGAGACCAACTTACTCTCTAAAACACTATCTCCGATTTTGGAAGAAGATTCTTTTAGATGTTTCACTTTTTCTTTCCCTTTGGTAATCTCGTTTACGAGTTTCTTGTATTCCTCTGAAGAAGAAGATACGCTCGCCATTCTTGTACCTGTCACGACATTGAAAGATTCAAACATATTTTTATATGTTCAAAGAAATAGAGAAGATCACAATGTTTGTAACTGAATTAGCTATTTTCGACAATTTAGAAAGAGTCATGTAGATCCGACACCACATATGTAAACTTTAGACCAATTCTTCATTAAAAATAGATTATTACTATTATAATGATTGTTGTTAAAAACAGAGTATTTTGTTTGTTGAAAAAAAGAGATGGGTAGAGTATAATATTGTCCAAGAATGATGGGAGCTAACCGATTGGCTAACATGTCATATCTGAAACACCAACTGACCGGAGAAGAAGGAACGGGCGACGAGATCTACGAAGTCGTCGATCGGGTGACGGGCGTGAAATACTTTTTGAAGGAATTCCGCCGCAGCTCCGGCGGAATTGAGATTCTGATGAAATTGGAACATCCGAACCTCTTGAAATGTGTCGAGGTTATCGAAATCAAGGGGAAGATCTATCTTCTGTACGAGCATATGGACGGCGGATCTCTCTCCGGCGACTGCATCTTCGGCGAATTCAAACTCGCCGGCGTTGCTCGTCAAGTTCTCTTGGGGTTGAGATACCTTCACCGGAACAACATCTGCCATGGAGATGTTCGGCTTTCCAATATTTTCATAGATTCAAATGCGCAAGTCAAAGTTTTGTATTCGGGTGAAAAAGCTCCGGTGGGCGGCGGCGGCGGGTTTTGGTGGTGGGATGTGTGGAATCTAGGATTAAGCATTCTAAAATTGTGCAATGGTTTGAATGAATTCCCCAAATCACCACCAACAGAGCTGCTGTATAGGTTTCTCTCTTCTTGTATGAAGACACACAAAGATGATGAATCAAAAAATAGATGGGCAGTCGAGAAACTTCTTTGCCATCCATTTTTGAATCAGCTTTCTGCCACCACTTCATTCAACCAAAAGGTCCCTACATAATTTTTTATTCATTTTTTTTTTTTTTTAAATCTGTATAGTTTTTGGTTAACCTTTGCAGATGAAGTTACCTGCTGCTGTAATACATGAAGCATCTCCCTCTGAAGAAATTACAGAACAAATTAATCTTAGAGCAAAAAGACGAAAAGCTTATCAAGAACATGGCATAGAAGAAGAAGAAGACGTTGAAAGTTCGCAAGTTCCCCTAATAGATTACTGGAACTGTATTCGGCATCTTGCCCTATTTCTTCCGGATTACGGATTTTCGAAAGATAAATTGGTACAAATGTGGATTGCCGAAGAATGCATCAAACTCGAAGTGACGAAACGAATGGAGGACGTGGGTAATTTGTGCTTCGACTTTTTGCTTAATCAAAATATCATCGTACCTTCAAAGCCAACTGCTGCTTATCTTTCCCATTACCAAGTCAACGACAAATCCAAAATTGCTAGGCTCATTATCCAACGAGGCGATTACGTAAGAATCCGAGATGGTAATGAGTTGGATACGACCAACCAAGAAATCCTACACTTAACATGGGACTGTCGTAAACATGACCACGCTTTAGTTGATGATGCTCTTACGAAATTCAAGAAACTTCGCACACTCTTAGTTGTCAATCTCTGTATTCCGAGGAATAAAATGTGCAATTTAAGGTTTCCCCACTTGAAGCTCTTAAAAACATTGGATCTGAGCTCGAGCAACATAACACACGTACCGTGTTCCATCGAGTATTTGGAGTCTTTGAGATTCCTAGACATCTCCAACACTCCCATCGATCAATTGCCTCAGTCGATCGATCTTCTTCTTTCTCTTCAGACATTAAGATTGAGGGACTGCCCTGGAATTCACGAACTGCCATGGGGATTCGGGTCTTTGATTAATCTTCGCCACCTGGACCTCCAGATTTTTGGCCAGCTGAGGGTCATGCCTAGTGGGATGGGAAACTTAACCAAACTCCAAACATTAGATGCGTTCATCGTGGGGGAAACCGACGATGGGTGCGGAATAACGGAGCTGAAAAACATGAACGAGATCGCCGGGTCGTTCTCTATCCTAAAGCTTCATAATGTATCTAACGCGGAAGAAGCAAAGGCAGCTGCATTGTGCGATAAGAAACACATAGATGATCTGTACTTGTATTGGGGTAGTGTCGAAAACCCCGATGCAACCGACATCTTAGAATATCTGCAGCCTCATTTTAACCTTAAATTTTTACACATTTCACATTATTGTGGTTCGAAGCTTCCGAGCTGGATAACCAATCCATCTTTTGTCGATCTTTCCACAATATTCCTCATAGGATGCATAAATTGCGACACGTTGCCCTCGTTTGGCGAACTGCCGTCTCTTAAGAGCCTCGATTTCGTGGAGATGACAAGTGTGAGGGATATTAATTCCCTATTCTGCAGAAAGTCCGAAACTCGTGTTAAAGTTGCATTTCCGAAGCTAGAGAAATTGAGTATCGACGACATGCCGAACCTTGTGGAATGGTCTGGAATGGAGGATGGTGATTTCCCATGCCTCAAAGATGTTACGATTGGATCATGTCCGGAACTTGCCACTCTTCCGTCTCTGTCGCATCTCCGCTCACTCGAATCTTTGGAAATAAACGACTGCGAAAAGATGATTTCTTTGCCTGAATTGCCGGCTTCGGTTAAAGATCTCAGGGTACGTTGCTGCCCTAAAATGAGTAAGCGGTTGTACTACAAGGATGGAAGACGAGAGATTGCACATGTAAACAACATTTGGATTGATCTTGAAAAATTATCTTTACATTAAAAAGTTTGTGTCTGAATTATATTTTTACATTGCTTTCTACTTCTGTGGTTCTGGTTAACTAGCAAGTTTCACATGTCTTATTATTATTTTTTTTTTCCATGGATTACTTTAATTTTGCATATTTTTTTAGTTATATTCTTTGTCAAATAAAATATAATTTAAGGTAAATTACGAAACCCCTGAATTTAGGCCAAATTACAAAAGTACCCCCTATCCGTAATTACTAAAATACCCCCAACATTTGTTTTTGTCTTGTACCAACCTCCTTACTGTGTCTGATCCCTCACAAAATATTTTCGAGTCTAGGGAATATTTTCCAAAAAATGTCAATTGTACCCATGCAGAGGTGGAATTTCTTTTATGCTATTTTTTAAGGGTAAATATTACTCTCAAAAGTAGCATAAAGAAATTCCACCTCTGAAATTATTGAATCAACATTTTTTCGGGGAATATATTCTATGTAGTAAAAACGCTTTCGCGAAAAATCACATCATAAGGAGGTTGGTGTACTATTGGAACAAATGTCGAGGGAATTTTGGTAATTACGGATATTTGGGGTATTTTTGAAATTTAGCCTAAGTTCAGAGAATTTTCATAATTTATCCTATAATTTATATGCATGATTATATTTAGGGAAAATTACACCTGCACTCCTAAGGTATGCTAAAATAACTTATTCTTTTCTTAATTTCTTTGGGTCATATTCAATTTTAAGTGGCTCATATCTCCTCGAATACAACAAGTAGGAAGGCGTGCAATAATCAAACACAATTTAAACTATAAGTGAGACAGATATTGATATTGATACCGATACTGATAACGATATTGATATGGATGTCGATACTAATATTTAGGCTAATTTTTGTCGTGTCTCTTTCATAGATATTACTGATCAATCATTGCTCGTCGAAGATGATTGTGGAACACCAACCAACAAAGATCTCTAACTTAGATCGCTGGTTACAACCGCAATATTAGGTTGCATTTTTGTACGTATTGCCATGTTATTTTTATATCATTCCTCTATTAATTATATCCACTTTTTTAATTGAATGTCTCCGTACAAAACTAGAACTCAGAACTTCTTTTGTGGTTGCTAAAAACATATGGCAATATCTTAATCAATTTATGTTATATGCTACCTGAAACTGTGTTTATTCTATTGTGTTGTCTCTTTGCATTAAATTAACTATATAAAAAAGATTCCAACGGGTATACAAACGGCTAGAAACAATAAAGTCAAAGCGCCACGTCATCATCCACTAACAGATTCGAAACGGAAGGGCCATTTTGTTACGTTTTGTAGTTCAGAAGGGATGTTTGCGACAGACCCCATAGTTCAGGGGTGACAGTAATTTAGCAGTCAATGCAGTAATATTAATTAAAATAATTTTTTTAAGAAAAAAAATTTCAAAAGAAAAAAAGAAGTCAATTAACAGTTAAATTACTGTGTCCGACAGTTAAATAACTGCTGGAGACAGTAATTTAGCAACGAATACGGTAATATTAATTAAAAATATTTTTTTAAGAATAAAAAGTAAATTAACAGTTAAATTACTGTCTCCGACAGTTAAATAACTGCTGGAGACAGTAATTTAACAACGAATACAGTAATATCAATTAAAATATTTTATAAAAAAGTCAATTAACAGTTAAATTATTGTCTCCGACAGTTAAATAACTGCTGGAGACAGTAATTTAGTAGCAAAGACAGTAATAATAATTAAAATATTTTTGAAGGAAAAAAAAAAGTCAATTTATAGTTAAATTACTGTCTCCGACAGTTAAATAACTGCCGGAGACAGTAACTTAGCAGCCAAGACAGTAATATTAATTAAAATATTTTTTTTAAGAAAAAACAAAATTATAAAAAAAAAAAAAAAAGTCAACGGCAGTTGACTGGCCGGAAAAAAAAATTCTGGAAAAAAAAAAAAGTCAAAGCCGGAGACCGGCGATTAATGGCGGCGACCAGTGGTCTCCGGAGGTGGCGGGTCAAAATTGGGGTCAAATTTGAAATTAGGGTTAAAATTGGTTAATTGATGAAATTAGGCTAAATTAGGGTGTAAATCATGAAATTAGAATTGAATTGAGTTTCAATGAATTGGGGGTAATTTTGGTATATATAAAAGGATTTTCCTTATGTGCAAATAATTTTGAATGAGCTGGATTTATATATATATATATATATATATATATATATATATATATATATATATATATATATATATATATATATATATATATATATATATATATATATATATATATTAA